CTATACAAGATAAAACGACTGATTGTCATGTCCAACGCCATTTGTCAGTTCCAGACACCCTATGCTCATCGTATCAGGCTGTTATTGGGCTTAAATCAGGGGTTTCGTTTGTGTGTTTTGCTGATTTCAGCTTTTATATACTGTATATTTGTTGTAAAGAGATCAGGGCTTAGTCTTATAAACCTTATAATTTCAATACGTTCAAAGTTAATGGTATAAATTAATGTGTTCTCAATTTCAGTTTAAAGGTATTGCATTTTCAAATACAGGAACAACATTTTAAACAAAATTACTAAAATTGCATGTTGACACACACACATCATTGGAGGCTGTCCTTACAACTCCCAGGGTTGCTACTCACTTGGCTGACAACTCTTGAACTCTGTAAATACAGTGTGACAACTCATATTGTTAACAAAGAAAAACAGAATACTGGCTTGCATGACCTGTACAGAGGACCACACAGACAATGAGTGAACTGGTTATTGACAAGGACATGGACTATTCTTCAAATTCATCACATGTTGTCGGAGCAAAAATATAAGAGAGAAAAGGAAGGACCTGTTGAGCTGCCATGCTCCATTGTGTTAGGGCAAACAACTGGGCAGCTGGAAAATGGAGATACAGTGCAGCTCTGCAGACTCTGCAAGGGTAAATGAGCACAAGCCTGTGTGTCTACTGATAGTACTTCTATTCCTACTGCTGCTGTGGCAGCTGCTGTTTTGTGGTTTTGTGCCTCTCTGTGGCACTTGACCATTATGTTTAGTTTCATCCCAAAGACTTTGTTGTTACCTGGGCCTCGGTTGCTGTCTATCTGTCCCCCTTTCTTTCTTGTTCTCATTTTCTGTCTTATGTGCCGTCTCTTTCTCTCACTCTCTCTTTTTCAGTCTCTGCCAAACCCCTGAGCTTCAGTTCTGAGTCCTGAAAAGTTATGTCTGTCAAAGTTTTCCTTGGTGACTGAAGTCAGACATAATGGTAAATGGGTGTTACTTATATAGTGCTTTTCTACGCATGTATGAGTACCCAAAGGGCTTTACAGTATTTGGCTGATTCACCCCACCCACATACACACGCACACATTGATGGTGATGGTCACTGGAGAAAAAAAAATTGGGGTTCAGTATTTTGCCCAAGGACACTTCGATATTTAGACTAGAGATGACAAGGATCAAACTGCCAACCTAAGGTTACAGGACAACCTGCTCTGAGTCACAGCCATCGTGTGTCAATGGTTACTGTATGTCTCTTTTTAAGTAAATACAAGATTTTGAAAAAAAAAAAAAATCTAATTATGGTCTTTACATTTCAGTCACCTTTTACTGTTTTCTTCTTAAGTACTGCAGCTATAGTTCAGAAGCTGGAGGCCACATATTAAGATTAACCGAGGGCAATGTCTTTTCTGCTGTTCTTTAATATCAGCTGAGCCAAACGACATCATCCCAACTTTTTTCATTCCTAATTAGCTAAAGCCTTTACAAGCAGAAAGAGGAAGCAGGGACACAATGAATTGAGAAGGTCAGTGATAGAGGGAGTTACTAATCTGTAATACTTCCAAATGTAATGACTGAAAATTGGTCATATGGCACTGCATTCCATTGGGTATTGGGACCAGTAACCATTAACTGATGACAACACTGGCCTCTGACATGGACACACTGTATTTATAATTGGATAATGGTGGACTCAATGACTGACTGTGAACCTAAAACACACTGTGAACTCAGTTCTGACACAGTAGAAGGTATCCAAGTCTGTTCATCCATCAGAAAATTGGACAGCATTACACTGCTGAGTCCCCCATCTCATCTCACACAACCTGCATCAACTGTTCCCATTGCTATGACCTGACCGTTTTATTTTCCATTATTATCAGGGCACTGATAAAATGATGCGACTGCAACTGGACGCCCCGATGCCATATGTAGCTGAGACCATTTGTTTCTGGCTATCCGCAGCCAGTGAGGCACGCTGCGATGCTGGAGGTAAACAAGCACAAGCTGCCGACAGTGTTAATCACAGTTTTACTGCTTCTATTCTCTGGAGTTTGGAGGCTGGTGGAAGTGTTCAACATACTTTCCACACCATTAGTGCTCTCTGCTGAGCTGTTCTATCCACGTCCACTACTGTACATACGCCATAAGCCAGAAGCACAACTAACCACAATAAATGTGGACACATCAGCACATTTGAGGAGCTGCACCGTGTGGGCCATGTCCCACTGCTGTACTACATGTTTTTATGTGATATGGGGAAAATAACACTCAGAGCATGAGATTCAACCTCAAAGGACCACTGAAGGACAGAGGCTGTAAGAATGAGATAGAGAGCCTGAATTACTAAGCCTTTTCTTGCCTTCTTTCATGCACATTCCCTGTGTACAGATGTATGTTATTTACCTGTTATTTTTGTTGCACTGGTCATAAAAAAATAGCTTGCTTGTTAGACTGTAATGTATTAAGTAGAGCGACTGTCTTCCTTTATGTGTAGAGTATGCATTATTAGAGGAATGGGCAAATACAAAAGGAGAGATATGATTTTTATAGTTAGCTAAACTACATTGAGCTGAAGGTTCTTACAGTTTGTGAGGGAATGTTTAACAGTTACATTGTCAAGAGAAATCAATGATCAATACAGTGCTATCATCACTCAACACCTGCGCTGGCATGAGCATCTGCTGACAGTTGCTCTGTCTGGATTAGGTCCCTGTCCCACAAGTGACTTCATCCAGTTGCAATGCATAACATTTGATTATAAGACACATTTTTTGTGTGTATCTGTATTCTTTGTGTTATGTTTATATCACTTTTTAGGATTTTTTTTTTTATTTAGTTAATTCATCAGTCACCATTCTGCAATGGAGTTGCCTTGTGCCCATCTGAAAGGTATTGGTT